GTGATACTTTCAGTGAAAGGTTTGGAGTGGGCCAGGGTCACACACCTATGACATGGGGCCATAATGTATCAAAAGAGATTTTTATTTCAGGCACCTGGGTGCAGGTGGGCTGAGTCCAACAAAAAGGAGTCAGCGGAGACTGAAGGGGAGGCAGACTTCTATTAATCCTTGCTGGCTGCAAGCCATTCTGCTGACATAAGGGTCCAATCCATCCTTGGCTCCTCCCTGTGCCAGATGGCTAGTGGTTATCTAAGCTATGCGGTGTTCAAGGCTGCAAGCTTTCTGCAAGACATCTGCTAAGCACAATATGTTTTCTCTGCCCCGTTTTATTCTCTTTAACCCTTTCATTCAGCAATAAAGGTAATATAAACATAATTTTGAAAATTTATCCAGTAAGCAAAATTTCTCCATAAAATTTTACATATATTTTACTAAGACCATTTAGGCTGAAGATAACTTTCAAATTATTTATGAAAAAAATACCACTGTCTATTTCAGTAGCACATCCACAAAGGACATATAGTCATGATTCATGATACAATTTTTGATACCAAAGTGATCACTAGACTTCTAAATAAGACACTAATTAGGAAATGCCGTGGGCAGAAAAATGTGCTGTTACTGCTTCAGTGAACAGAGAAAAGAATAATGTTGAGTACTGCCTGAGAAAAGTATGTATTGGTCATCTTTCTGAGAGTTCTTGTCGCCCAGGTAAATAAAAGATAAAGCTTCTGGAGCCTTGCTGCACACAGCCCTTCGCTGCATTGATACTTGATTTAAAATGATCAAGTCGGTGTGCCTACTTCTCAAGAAATAAGAGCACACTTTTAATCTAAGGAGATTAAAGGACATCTTTAAAATGAGATTTCCAAATTAAAATGGGTGTTCATTTTTTGCCCGGCTGGTGTGGCTCAGTGGTTGAGCATGGACCTATGAACCAGGAGGTCACGGTTTGATTCCTGGTCAGGGCACATGCCCAGATTGCAGGCTCGATCCCCAGTGCGGGGTGTGCAGGAGGCGGCCTATCGATGATTCTCTCTCATCATTGATGTTTCTATCTATCCTTTCCTCTCTGAAATCAATAAAAATGTAGTTTTAAAAATTTTTCAAAAATAAAATAAAATGGTGTTCATTTTATCTAGTGTACAATGGAATTTCTGAAATTAAATACTTACGAGACTTTGCCAACAAAATCTGTGCCTCGTTTCCCTGTGTTGATTTGACAATTTAATCACTGGCAGTGGAAATGAAGGTTTTTTGTGAGAGAATAAGTTGGTATACGGCATCAGCTGAGAACATGACATTTAGTCATAAAGTGGTACAGTTTGATAAAGGTTATGTGGGAGAAATTGAAATTGAAACATGTTGATTCTCTTTTTATTATGGAAAATTCCAAATATGTGTAGAAATAGAATATTCATCTTCATACACTTATCATAAAGTATGAACATATCAACTCATGGCCAGTTCTGCTTCAAGTATATTCCCACCCCCTTCCCAACTTTCCATAGTATTTTGAAGAAAATACAAGACATCCTTTTATCTGCAAATATTTTCTTTTAATCTCTAAAAGACAAAAATCATAACCACCTTCAGGCACAGTGAGTACACCTGAGGTGAGCTATATGAAGGGATGTACACCTATCTGAAACTTAGCTACGCATAGGGATTTTAGAGAGAGAGAAAGAGAAAGAAAGACAGACAGAGGAAGAGAAAAACATTGATGTGAGAGAGAGAGACATCAATCAGCTGCCTCCTGTATGTGCCCTGACCGGGAATCAAACCTGCAACCTTCTAGTGTACGGGATGATGCTCCAACCAACTGAGCCACCCAGCCAGGGCAGTGTGGATCTCTTGATGTAGCTTATCCATTTGCCCTCATGAAGCCACTTGCTTGTAGATGTACAAACTTACAATCACCAAAGTGTAGCTTTGTTTTTCAAATTGAACATCTTATATGAAGTAAAATGTTAGTTAACTCAATTATTATAGTGGGTTCTTGGTTTGTTCCACTTTTGACTCATTGATTTTGAATACATAATTATTATGAACACTAGATAGAAGGGCCAATTATTATTAAAATAGGGCCATTCCAGATGTGCAAGCAATGCCTGCACTTAACATTCTGATAGATGTTAATCCCTGATGTTACCACAATACTCACTTGGCCTGGATGTATCCTAAATGAGTTTTTCTGAACATCTATGGTATAAATCTTAGCCGCAAGGAAGACATCCTAGATCAGTAGTTCTCAACCTGTGGGTCGCGACCCCTTTGGGGGTCGAATGACCCTTTCACAGGGGTCACCTAAGACCATCGGAAAACATATATAATTACATATTGTTTTGTAATTAATCACTATGCTTTAATTATGTTCAATTTGTAACAATGAAAATACATCCTGCATATCAGATATTTACATTACGATTCATAACAGTAGCAAAATTACAGTTATGAAGTAGCAATGAAAATAATTTTATGGTTGGGGGTCACCACAACATGAGGAACTGTATTAAAGGGTCGAGGCATTAGGAAGGTTGAGAACCGCTGTCCTAGATGAACACATAGCATCAGGAAATTCTGGAAGAGCAATGGGATTTAAGTATGAACATGAACATGCAGAAAAAGCTAGACTGCCCAATTTAATATTGCCATACTCTGAATAATCCAGAAGAAATGAATGATTTTAAAATGAATCCCTGGCCCTAGCTGGTTTGGCTCAGGGGATAGAGCATCAGCCTGCGGACTGAAGGGTCCTGGGTTCATTTCCAGTCAAGGGCACATGCAGGAGGCAGCCAGTCAATGATTCTCTCTCATCATTGATGTTTCTCTCTCTCTCTCCCTCTCCCTTCCTCTCTGAAATCAATAAAAATATATTTAAAATAAAATAAAATTAATCCCTGTATAAGTTGTACTGACTTGGATTTAGATTGTGATTGTCATTAATAATTTTACACCATGCTCAGTAATTTCTCATTGTTATACAATTATGTACTTTCATAATCTAAAACAAGAAGCACCACATTTCTTACCAGTCATTTCTAGCCACACTCAAATTCTCACGTATAGGGTCACCTTGCAATGCATTGTTTTCATTGGTTATAGTTCCTGCTGGGCAACAGTTTCATGAAAACCAATAGATTGCTTCTGCTTACAACAGATGGAAGTTTAGTTTGTTCACAGGGCAGAACTCTGTGAGAGCCTTTTTAGTGAATGCATAAAACCAAATGCTTTCCTAAATTTATTTTCCATGTTAATTATTTGCTTTTATCTGTGTTATTTCAGTTTGTACCTTTCCTATACCTTACATGAAGAAGAGAGGTATTGATTTGGTAAACTTTTTCCTACAGTTTTCTCAGTCCCTGCACATTTTGTATAAAATTTCTTTCTCTCTGTTTCCAGACGGCCGATATGTACTATTTGTATGCTGTCAATGGATTACCCCAAAACACCAAACCACCAAAGAATGTCAAACCCAAAATTGATGCAACTAATAAGAACTTTGATGACAGGACAGTTACTCAGCACAATTTTATCAAAGAAAATAATAAGATGGTAAGGACAGGGGCATCCTCTACCATCAAGGGAGAGTCTTTGATGTTGAAGAATAAATAAAGATTTTTCCCAAAATATTTCTTGGTCTTAAGTAGAATTGAACATACTTTCATGATTGTTATTTCACTTTTTGACTTTCTGAGGAATAATATTTCAATTATAATAGGCCTTATATATTTTATTTTTATGTTAAATGTATTCTCTGAATATGTTATACCTACTTTCTGGGTTAATGGAGGTGATGCAAATGTTGGAATTGGTTTACTTTTTTTAAAAATTGATTTTTAGAGGGAGAAACATCAATTTGTTGTTCCACTTATTCATGCATTCATTAGTTGATTTTTGTGTGCCCTGACTGGGGACTGAACCCACAACTTTGGTGTATTGGGATTATGCTATCACCAACTAAGCTACCCAGCCAGGGCCTGTAGCTATTTTTAAATTGCATAAGCAAGAGATAGATAGAATGTTACAAACCATACTTACCCAGATGTTTTCAGTGAGCACAGAAACTCTTCGCTTTCTAAATGTTTTTTTCACCTCTAAGCCATGATATTCTTCACATGACATCAAATGTTTCATAATAATAGCTCATGATCTCTTTTTATTTTATTATTGACAGTATTACAAATGTCTCCTATTTTCTCCCTTTTTGCCCCCCAACCCCCATCCTCCCAGACCTTCCCCATACTATTGTCTGTGTCCATGGGTTATGCATATATGTTCTTTGGTTAATCTCTTCCCATCCCTTCTGCCCCCTCCTCACTGAGATCTGTTATTCTGTCCCATGCTACCATGCCTCTGGTCCTATTTTGTTCATCAGTTTATTTTGTTCATTAGATTCCACATATGAGTGAGATCATGTGATACTTGTCTTTCTCTGACTGGCTTATTTCACTTAGCATAATACTCTCCAGGTCCATCCATGCTGTCTCAAAGGGTAAGAGATCCTTCTTTTTTACAGCTGCATACTATTTCATTGTATAAATGTACCACAACTTTTTTTTTTATCACTTTTAAAATACAGGAGTACATTTATAGTAAAACTGAAAAATGTGACTTTGATGGCAATACTCTTTCTATTACTGGTGTTGCTCAATTTCTCATGTTGATGTTGCTTATGAGTCTTCAAAACATTAATGGCAAAATTAGCATACAAGATGGAAGAATTCACCATTTCTTATGTCTATTATTTGAACTACTAAGGGCCTGGTGCATGAAATTCATGCACTGGTGGGGGGGGGTCCCTCAGCCCAGCCTGCCCCCTCTCACATACTGGGAGCCCTCAGGGGATGTCCTACTGATGGCTTAGGCCCGCTCCCTGCTCCCCTTGGGGAGCAGCCATAAGCCGCAGTCTGGCCTCCCTTTGTGGGAGGCAACTGGGCTGATCAGGGGAAGGCACCAGCCCCATCACCCCACTGCTGCAGCCACTGCCAGTCACCGCAGCCACCAAGGTGTTTTCATCAATACGGACTCCAGTCCCTTCACCATGAAAAAGTGACAACTTTCTTTAGGCATTTTCAAGATGTGTCTTTCATAGGATATGAAATTTCTTTCTTTTTTTTTTTTCCTCACCTGAGGATATATTTCTATTGATTTTTAGAGAATGTGGAAGAGAGAGGAAAAGACATAGAGAAACATCAATGTGAGAGGGACACTTTGATTGGTTGCCTCCTGCATGAGCCCTGACCTGTGCCCCAGCCAGGGAGGAGCCTGCAACCTAGGTACATGCCCTTGATCAGAATCAACCCGGATCCTGCAGTGGGCAGGCCGAGGCTCTATCCACTGAGCCAAACTGGCTAGGGCAGGATATGACATTTCTTAGCCCTCCAGCAGCAGACCTTCGTTTTTTCCTCCAGGAGTGAGGTGGAAAAACCCTAGATCACCTTTTTGAATTCTTGTT